AATGTTTCTGCATACACGTACCAAAAACAACTTCCTAATCTGCCATCCAGTCATTCCAGTCTGTGTTAACGTGATTAAAAGCATGGAAGACATTGTGAGAATCAGTAACTCCCAATTTTATTTTTTTTTTTTTTAATTTAGGAAGATACCAGGCTGCATTCTCAGTTCTGTATCCCAAAGTATTTCAAACTTTCCTTTCAAACTGCTTTAAGAGTTTTCCAAAGCACAAAGAACACTACACTTATCCTAAGACAGCTGCAGCAGGTATTAAAAGCGTGAACAACAGATGGAAATGAGCTACAGCAACAAGTTACTGGTTGCCAGCAGGGATGCCAAAATTGCTCTTGCAGGTACTTTCAGCCTACCCTAATTGGAAGATAAAACATGCTAAAAGGCAGTTTAGACCAAGTTAAACTATATTCTACCTGAAACTTAGAGCATAAACAGAGTCTCAGTGACTCAATGCGCTATCAGTAACTTGAGATCTAGTTCAACTGCTTACCCACCTGTATCCTCTATCCTAACACTAACACCCATGCATCCAGCGGGCTCCGTACTATTACAAAACTTATTCAAAATAAACTTATATTTTTGTAGTCAGTAATAACTGGTTAATATTTCCAGATTAATAATAATATCAAAAAGCAGAACCAATTATAGTTCAGTTATAGCTACAGCAGGTCTGGACATCAGAGATTAAAATTTGCTTCCAAAACCTATTCTATGTGATATGAAACTTCAGAACCTCCTTATAGGTATGACTTTGGTATTTCACTTCATTTCTAAAAGATTAAAGTTTAAGAAAACACTCATTTTTGAAAAGGACCACCCCTCTAACAAGGAGTGCAGTGTGAGCTTATTTTTCTTCAGTTGCTAAAGACTTCTGAAAAAAACAACTCAACAAGTGTGTGGGTAAGGATGGGAAGATGTCTTTGAAGGGAAGCGTATGCTGCTGCTCCTTTTTCCATTAACACTAGATTTGCTCAAGGTTAGCCAGGGAGCTTTACAGCTCCAGTCTGTAAAACACATCCTGACATAACTGGCTAAATTCCCTCGGTCTCATTAAACACTACCTACATTCAAAAGGAAAACTGAAGCAATCAGCAACCGCTGGTTTTAAGGATAACAGCACCAAGGCTTCCCTTGCCCTGCTCATGAGCCAAATTAAATGGCAAAACTGATAATAACATTTAGCCTTCTGCAAGCCTCAGTGGGCCTGGAAGCAAAACTAAGGGCAACTTCCCAAATATCCCACAGAGAAACTTCCTGAAGGTATCCCACCACCGCTGGATAGAGCTGCAGCAAGAAAGGACTCACATGACAGAGGGAGATCCAGTTCTCCCACACTGACACTCTACCTCCATAGGTGCTCCCCAGTCAGTTTAGTGCAACTGAAAAAATGATATCCATGCTTTTTACCGCCTTGTTAAAGCCGAGTGAAAACTTAAGTCAAAGGCAGAGATAATAAGCTTACTAGGACTTAAGAAAACCAACAGGAATGGAAACAAAGACTCAAATTACCATGAATCTATTATTTTCAGGAGGTCTAAAGGACTATCGTTGCCAAGTTGATAAGCCTCATGTTTCTCCAGCGCGCTTGTGAAACTGTCACTGCCTACTTATTCACCAAGGCCACTAGGGAGCGTTCACAGCTTCTTTTGGAGGCAAACACCAGCAATCCTCCAGAAGCCTTTTATTCTAGTGAATCTCAAACCTCTTCCACCAAAAAAAAAAGTTTGCTTTCATATACAAAATAACTCGAGTGCTTCCTCTAGAGCAGTAACTACACTGAGTAAAAGCCAAAGACTGCAGCCACTCCTGCATTTTTGCTTGTTCACTATGACTTAGCAAATTACTCTCGAAGGTACTATCTTGTCACATGCTTCAGTTCCCATCCATATGACCACAACAGATAGGGCCATGGTATTTTTTTGCCAACTCCCTCAATGCCACCCTGTATTCCTCTCTGCTACTCACACCCCAATCTTGTTTCTCCTTTCCTAAGAGCAATCCTTTTACTCATACAAACCATTTACTTAGCAAAGATGCAGGCAGATGCATTCCTTATTTCAGTAAGGAATGACATAGCACAGAAACCTGATTAAATAAAAGCATGACAAAGATACAGAAAATTATGGAGAACCACAATCACTGGAACTGTTACTTATACCCCCCACCCCCTTTCTTTTCTCTGCGGGCTCTTTGAAACAGAGGCTGAACCATTCTTTAACTGGCATAGGAAACATTTTTGTAAAAAATGTCTCAACAAATTATATTTAACAGGAGTTTCTTTCAAACTGTGGAAATTAGAAGCCACTCCAATCAAAATACAAGGAATGTTTCAACACATCAGATCTATTCCTTGAGCACTATTCCAAAGAGCATAGTATGTAGCAGATAAGGGAAATTATCATCCCTAATTTCTCTTCTCTTGTTTAAGCTCCTGCTCAAAGAGGGTAGGAGGGACAAAAAGTTAAAAACAATTGTTCTTGGTTTCTTAGTTAAGACAAGGCGACAACTAAGGCATAACACAGAACTAATAGGGAGGAAGGGGGGTGGGAAAGGCAGTTGGAGTATAGTTCCAGAGAGAAAGCAGAGTATTTAATCCAACTATTAGGAAGTGCAATTTTTTGCTCAAAATCTGAAGTTAAGACAGTCTCTGAAGAAAGACACATTTGCATATTTATCTGAAAAAAAATCTGATCAAATAATTAAGTTAATTAAGAAATTTAGCAAGTACTCACCTGTCTGAACATCTATAACCATCTGATGGCCACCTCTCATCCCTGGTCGGCTGTCTTCCCCATCACCTTTCAAAAAGAGGGAGGAGAGCGTTTTCCATAAGATTTTTAAACCAAAAAAAGATACAACCTCACGTATGGCCTAAATACTATACAAAAGCAGAGCAACTTAGTAACTCGCCATTCTTTAAACATTAGCACAACGCTTTTTCCAGGTAGTATTCTTCTGTGCATTATAAAACTGTACAGAGTCTTATATTGAATTATCTGGTAACTGATAGTACAGATAGCTAAAGTGAATACAGTCCTCTGCTGCAATTCTGAGAGCCTTGGAAAGGAGCTTGAGAGTTCCTGAAGCATGCAGGTCCACGCAAATGAGGTCTGAGCTATCTTTGTAGCTCTCCAGCGGTGAGGACACAGACAACCTTCTGCTCCCCTTCCATCTCCCCCCACCTGTGAGCTGCCTGAAGGCTGAGCAGCGAGAACAGATACTCAAATGACAGGGCAGCATACCCATGGATGGAAGCAAAAAGGTAACGGTACAGACATAGCACAGCTACCTTTGCACCAATTACTTATTGTCACATAGAAGGGAATTCCAACTGTCCAATTAAAGCAGCTTTCCAACCACTTCACTTATCTTAAGCATTCAGGGCAGTACTCATCTATAGGATGCAACGTTAGAAAGATAACTTGCATGCTGGTGGAAGAAAAATCTGCTTGCATTCATAGATAACCCTTCCCAAGAGGTTTGGGTACGATAGTCCACGTTTGGCGATTGTCACGTTGAATCCTACATTTGCTGTATGACAGTGATTTTTGTACTTTGTAGTCAAGGCTGCTGCTAGGAGTCTCTCAAGGCAGAAAGCAATGAAAAAAGGTTCTGCAGTTTAGATTTACTGTATTACAGACCAAGTCTTCAAAAGGTGCATTTCACACTTAAAATACTCCCTGCTAAGATAATGGTTTTTTTTGCCACTCTTTGCTGTACATTAAAGTTGACTCCATGCGTTAAATCCAGTCACACAGGTAACTGCTCTCATGCTTAACCTACATTGAGATTTGTTTCCGAACTGATTAGCTACCCTTGAAGTTACAGCTAGTGTTCCTGTAGCATTCCTTACTCAACCAGAAACCAGGTTGCATTTCACTGACCTTGCAGACAAATGCAAATTTTTTCATAGACAAAACCATTCCCTAGAACAACCGTCCTAGAGGAGGCTTTCTGGCATCAGTTTTTTGCTCAGTATCCTCAAAGGAACAAGACAGAACTGACAGTACATGGATCTTAAGAAACGTCCGTACCTTTGGTGCTTTTGGGAATGATTTGCCCCCAGCGAGGTTTGTATTCTTGTTGACTGATATACTGATTGAATAAGCCATCTGCAAAACAAAAATTTTGCTGCATAAAACATTTATACTTCCATTATAACAAAATCACTTTTAATGCAGGTAACTTCAGCCTAACTCAATCCAGTATGCTACTCCAAAGCCTTAATTTTAAGTAAATTCTGTATACATCATTTCAGTTAGTTTGTTAAACTTGTTAATGAACGAAATGTGTAAGCACTAAAATAAAAATAATACTCATTACTAGATCAATCAAGAATTACCCAGTTTTCCTGCCAGGTCATGCCAATTGTCTACAAATCTCCAGTGTAGTGTATTTAATTAAGAAGAGAATCCCTCCCCCTTATTTAAGCAGAAGGAAAGTTGCAGTGCATGTAAAACTCAACCATTTTAGTACATGTTAAGTTAAAACTAGGTCAGGCAGCATCTCTCAAGTTTTGTCTACAAAGAAAAGGGAAGAAAAGCAGATTGTTTAAATGCTACGATACGGGACAACCAAGCACTGGCTGAAAAATAAAATAATAGTTTACATTCTCTTCAGAGAGTTAAGCAATAAGAGAAACAGAAGACGCATTAGGTCACTGGCCAGATATGCCAACTGCAGCATTTCCGTAAGAAGCATGAACTCCAGCGCTCTATCCAAGCTCCTCTTGTGCTTTCCTTTCTCCCTCCATACACCTACCGTGTTTCACCTCTTCAGCATCGAGAGGTCAGTTCCTAATTCTGGTTAAACCTTATCAGCCTATCACATAAATGTTGATTTTTTGAAAAAGAGATTCATAACACCCATGCTCCGTGGGACCGCTCTTCAGTCTGGGAAGGGCTTAGCAAGACTTTTGGGAACTTGTTGCTACTGTTCTTCAAATGTCTCCCCTAAAAAAACCCACCTTACCTTCTGCAGGCACAACAAACTATTAGACCACTAACAGCCAGCCTCTTGACCACCACTCACCTGGCTATACCCCACCCATCACCCCACCATCTCAAGACACAAGCTCTTCATGACAAGCGTTTGTTCCAAATTTATGCATTACCTGAAAAAAAAATGGGAGTTCAGATACCCAATGATAACTACCACACGCAGACCGAGGATTCAAATGATAGATTTACATGGTTTTATATTGAAACGCTACATTGCACATACACCACTCAGATGTAGGATGCATTCAGGGGTCCTTAATCACGTAATACCCAACAGCTATGCTTCTGGTAGAATGGTACCCACCAAACTTGCTCAGGAATCAGTTTTTACGTTCCTCAGCAGAGAAAGGAAAAGTGAAATTACGAAGTTGCATCTAATACTTTTTAGTTCTCCGACCCCAGTAATTGTGGCTTTGAGGTAAGAATTTAACAGATCATGAATGCCTCCACTTATTTGTAGAAAATCCCTTGGTAGGCATACAGACAAAAAAAGAATTATCCTTACTGCACACATCCCTATTTATTTACAAAAAGGTAAAAATCTTTGTTAAGCACAACACAATGTTCAGAGAATATTTTGAAGTGTTTCCTGGCATCCTGTAGTTTGGCATGACTGAAACCCAGGTTTTAATTAAAACCCAAGCCAGCAAGTACTTCCTGGGAGAAGATGAATATTCTATTTAGAGACCATCTAATGGGAAAATAAGGGCACTCAAGAGCTCCTGAAAGGTGCTGAATTTGGTCATAAAAATACAAAACTGCTTTCAACTCTCATCAACTCAGCTCTGCAGGTTTTTCAAATTAAATACTCTGTGAAAGCAGGGCAGATTTTACTTTCACCTGTCTTAGAGCCAAAAAAAATCAGCTCTCTCCTAGCATTAGGTAATTGAGGAAAGCCAAAAGTTTGCTCAATGTGTGTAGAAAAGTGGTTTATTTTGATTTTAAGAGTAGGGTTCCCAACTCCCACTTCTTCAGCATTTATGTAGTTGGGACAAGACGTGAGAGGCTTTAAGCTTGAGATTTCATGAATTCTGATTCAGAAAAGCCAACTTCCAACAGAACAAATGCATGCGCTGTAAGAAATCCCATACTGACTCAGGCAGATTTTTCTAGCCACAAACCTAGACAGAAATCCAGCCTTTTGGTTATCATTAGAGCGTTCGGTCTTCAAGACAGAACGCAAAACCGTATTTATCCCTATGGCAGCAAATAGATAATTGGACATAAATAGCTCAAGAGGATGAATTACACCACATACGATCTGAAAGGGTGATTTAACCTCTCTCCCATGCTCAACACCCACAGGCTGCACTTGTCAAGATATGGCACTTCTCCCCTACTGTGCCTTCAGCCTCTTTTAATAATGCTTCTTGTCTTCCATGGGACATTGGTTTGGAAATGCTCCAGCTTGCTTCCCAGAAATGTTTCTTTCTGCTGGGAGCAGTTCCACATTCATTCTACTTGCACTACAAACCAGCAGCAGCTTGTTTTGGAAGCTGAATCACCACCTGTCTGACACCACCAGGGAAAAAAAGGATTTCTAGGTGGATTCTGTATTTGATGCCAAACCTATTCTAGTGCACCCCTTATGTTTCTTGCCAGGATAGCGCTGCTGACCAAAAGGTCTCCTAAACTTCTGCGAGGCACTGAAGATCAGACCTAGGCCTGCTCAGGTTTGTCAGCTGTTTCCAATGAGTTAGTTTAATATCAATTTCAAGACTCCTCTAGAAAAAAAAGTGTTAATTGAGATTTTTTTTAAAGGAAGTTTTTTCCTTCACTCTGGAGGCCTCTCATTTCAATGTCCATGTTTACTCTCTAAAATTACAGCCAAAACCAGTACTTTTATTTTGTACTATTTTCAAGCCCTTCACAGCAAGTTGTGACGCATTTTGGATGTAACAACATGAAGTTCACAGTGGTTAAGGCTTAGTAAATTCTACCTCCCTGATAACGGAAGCCTTTATTTTGTCAGCCAATTACAGGTTACCTAGAAAGGATTAGGACAAACATTGCAGACAAAAATATTTAACTTGCTGAAGCCAATCAGGAACAAGTAGAAGTTGTGTGAAGTTTCTTTTTAGACAACACACATCTCTAGATAGGATTACTAAAATCTATTAATTTCACTGCCAATGCCTGAAGAAACTTCAGAGTGGCATTTAGCCCGTAATTTCTGGGTGTTGGGGTTTGTTTTTTTAAGATTTTTCTTGAACCAAAGAAAAATACCCAACACACCTAAACAGACTGAGGTTTTCATACTGACCAAAATCCTTCTAAAGAAAAGCTGAAGCAGAAAACAAAGATGGCGCCAGATAAAAATCCAGCCATTACTCAACAATTTCCTCAAGACATGGGAGCAACAAGGAAACGCACAATTTTTTTCCAGTCTCAAAGCTGTAATATTCTCTTGCACTTTCTTCTTAACAAAAATGAAAGAAGGTTTGCTTTCAAATCACTACAAGATATGCTTCTTCTACACAAACCCTACCATCTACTTACCGTAGGCTTTGGATCCCTAGCAAGCCTCTCGCCTCCATATATACCAATACTGCAGAGCAGCAAGCCAGCATCCATACTTTCTCGGAACTGAATCCAAACATATTTGATGGTAAAATTAAAGTATACGTGTCTGTCTAGAGCTTCCAGGAGAATACAACTGTTCCTGTGCATCCTGAGTTTTGGGAGACATTTGAGCCCGCAGGCTGCACATTGCAACTTCTTGTCATATGGAGCCGACTTGTCAACAGATAAACACGTATCACATACTGACACAAGAACTGCCAGAAGGAGCACCTCGGTCCCCAGAATACTGATACGAAACTAGCAGATCTTCAATCCATTTCAAGCAGCTTTCTATGTCTACAGGAGCTGCGAACAGTTCAACAAAGTAATCTGCACTCCGCATACTCTCTGTAGGAATATTAAGCAGATTTTTTTTCTTCAATAATATAGGCCATCTGAAAGCTATAGGAAAGAATCCAAATGTGAAGCATTTGAACCAAGTCTGTGAACCAGCTGAGATTTAGGGAACCTTTTATTTTTGAGAGGAAGTCAGGCAGCTGCCAGAGTTTCCATTTGCCCATTTTCTGAGTGTAATGCACAAGTCAAAAGAATCTGCGGGAAAAGTGTGGCTGCCTGCCACTGAGCTCTCAAAAGAAATCATCTGGTGATGTGAGGTGGAAGACAGCGTTCATCATTAGCAATGCAAAAGAACAAGAGTTAGCTCTGCTAGCACTAATTCTTGACCACCTACTCTTTTTCTACATGACTAAGCCTATGGAAATAGCCTACGAGAGATGCATCGCGTTTCACTTTTTAAATACCTACCACTGCAAATATTAGCCTCTACAGAAGACATTTTAGGCTGCACTGAGTGTGCAGTATCTCTGTCAACCTCACTGCACTGCTGTTTGTTCCTTCAAGGCAATGAACTCTCAGATCAGCAAAAGGTCAGAAGTTCACATATTCATGTCCAGTCTGTTACAGAACAGTTCGCTCTTTGAACGATTTCAGGGATAATTTAAGGATCTGTGTATCTCAATTAACTCTACACTTCAACTACACTACACGGACCATACACAGGACTAAAGTTAATCTGCTTTTATTTGGAAAAACAACACATCAGAGAGGAATTCAGTCGTAAGAACACCCACACCTTAGAAACTGAGCGGCAAGCTATGGAGGCTTCACAACAAAGCTGCTAAGGAAGTAAAATGGTAAAATGCCGGGTGCTGACGAGCGTCTTTCAAACAGAGGAGCTTGAGAGAGATGCAGAACTGAGTAAGGACAGGTAACTGTGGAGGACCACAGGGAGCAGGTGGTAGCAATACTAGAGAACATGTTGAAGGCTGAAAACATCTATTCCCATCCTACCAAGAAGAAGGATCCAGCTGTTAAATACCAGCTACATTCAACACCTTGACTTGACTGTCATCTTGTACAACTCCGACCAAACTATTCCAGCTGCTCTTTCAGGTTTTTTGTGGTTATCAGAAGAGGTTTGTCCTATCCTCTCCCCCATCGTAGCCCAATCAGCTCCCTGACCTGGTTTGCCATGTGGCAGCATGAGCACCAGTGCCAGCAAGCGAGGGGCCAGGGGACACGCTGTCCTGAGTAAGGGCAGGACTGACCCAGTTAGTAAAAACCCGCAGTTGTGTCAGCTTAAAGCAAATATGGGCTACAGCCTCGGTGTCTCGGGATAGATAGCACTCCTCTCCAAAGAGTACAAAAGCTGAAGATGGCACAAAGAATTGCAGAAGGATGGGGGAAGAAAGGTTAATGTATTCAAAGACAAGCAAAATCATTAAGGATGAGCAACAGAGCAATGGGAGATACGTACACCAACATTTAATTTCAGCTAGCCAGGTGCCAGATTAAAAGCAAGCAATATAAACATCCTCATGCATATTATTCTGTCCCTCAGAAGCAGTGACAAAACTTAATGATGCTACTTGAAGACTCTCTTACTAAGTTACCCACAGTCTGTTACTAGAAGTACTTGCTTCTGTACTTGCTGGAACAAAAAAGGACTGATAAAACAAGCTACAGCGTATTTCTCTAGTTTAAGTGATGCTGAGTTCCCCAGCCTCTAAAAAAGGGACAAAATTATGAGAACCAGGGAAGCAGGATTATTCACATCAAATCTGACAAGAAGCAAGCGTCCATTTGTCAGACAGTACAATACAAGATCCACAGTTTTCTACCAGGTGAGTCCTTTGCCAGTACTTCCACACCTGGAAAAGTTGGGCACTGCAGACAGCAACCCCACTCTCAATGTACAAGGGGAAACAGAAGCACCACCTCAGCTCAAGTCCTGGGGGAAAACTGCTGGACAGAATAAATGCAGTATGTTAAATATGAAGTAGTAAAAGAAATCAACATATAACAGCTCAAAAAATGAGGCCATAAACATTTACTTCATTAGTGCCCAAGGGAAAAAAAGCGCATTTTTGAGAGAACTTATTCAGCACACTCTAGACCTCTACTGAAATTTCATTCAAAAAATAGTTTCTACTACAGCCTGCATGAAGTGGAAAGAGGACAGCCTCTAGGCACCACCGAGATTAAGCCACAGCCAAGGCAGCAGAGCAATGCACTGGCAAAATCGTCACTATCAGGCTACAGCACCCCTTTGGCTCTCAGCAGATCCTGCCTCATATTGGTGGGCTCATCAGCTCCCCCCAGGCGCTCGTGTCTTTGAGAAACACTGCAAAGACAGTAACAGCCAGCCACAGCTCCCTGCTGCTTTCTCATCCTGCAACCCTCACTTGCCTGTACGATTCAGGAGGATGCTGCCAGTTGCAAAATGCCCCTGCATTGCAGGAAGGCGTTCACGCTCCCATCCCAGCCACCAACACTACATTGTCTCAGGAGGGTGAGGATGAACACTGGCAATTCTCAGTCTCAAGCTTGTAGCTGCTCAGGGAGCTCAGCACAGGGCAGAGCTCAGCTGTTCTATCTATATAGTCAAGAAACCTCGAGCCAAAACCTGTAGAAAGCTATTTACTGCAGTTTTTGACGACCTGTTGCAATAAGTTCCCTAACATTGTGCATAGTTGAAGAGCTTATTCGCAAAAAGATGGTGGATTTCCATGGAAGACAAACCTTGATTTTAAAGTTATCATTTCCATCATATCCTGAGAACCACTTCCAAATTCAGTGGTACAAACCACACTGATGGAGTCAAGCAGGTATGCTGGCATCTATCCAAAAGGTATTACAAAATGACTTCTTAGCCCAGAAGTAGGAAAAACATCTCTGGTGCCAGACATCCATGAAGTTGGTCCACTAAGCCTGTAACCGGACTGGCATCAGACACAGGCTCTCTTCTCATGCCAGCACAAGTTTCCCATAAAAAGTGATGGCACACAGTCAAAAAGCACTACACCCACAGCCAAAAGCACCTCTGTTTTATCAGATTGTGATCCAAAACCACTGCACAGGTCTTGGAAGAGACTTCAGTGCAATAGCCCAACTCTTTTTGTATCCCATTCAATCAACAGAAAGTACATCTCCCCATTTTAGGAGTTGAGAGCTGTTTACACACAGTGCTAAGTTGAAAGTTTCCAAGCAAAAAATTAATAGTAGTTACAATGAAACCAGCTGTCAACCTCTGCAAGGGAAAACATGCTCTGCCTCCAGTCACTGTGACTTCTACACCATTCTCTAAGAGCTCAAGTGTGCCACATTGTCGTCTCTGGAGGAAAGGCTCCAGAAGTAGCAGTGATAAAAGTTTTCATGACTGAATTTTTAGCCTTCATCATACACATACTCACAAGTCCAAAAGCTGACAGTACACCATACTAGGTATGAAATAGCATGTGGACAATTCTACTACTAAATACATTAGCATTCAAAGCAGTAACATTTCAATGTCTTTTTTGTTTTTTTTTTTTAATTAATATACCAGACCCCTCTGATTCTCTTACCATTCACAGCTTTTTCTATCAGTTCTTCGCAAGCGTCGAAGTCTCCCTTCAATACCAGTTTGTCATGCAGGTCTGTCAACATAGGGTGCTCCAGAGCAATCTTGGTCTTCTTCTGCAGCGACTCAAAAGCTTCGGTGTAGTTGTGCTGACGAAAATGCTTTAGGCAGAGGCGAATGGCTTCCTGTTCACGGTACTACTGGAACACAAGAAAACCTATGAGACGTGTAGATTTTTCTTTTACCAGCACTGCTGGAAGCTACCTGTGAACCTGCCTGGAGACAGAAGCAGGATCTCTTACACATGCTGCACAAACTGTTCATGAGCTTACAGAGGAATGCTATATGAAAGATGTTACAAGCTGTGCAGGCATTTACCTTCCAACAGTATAGAAATGATACAACTTGGTATCATCCAATTGAATAAGCATACAAGAAGAGAGCACGCAGCGTCCCAGATCTCTGCAGTGACCATTATTTTCCCCCCATCTGCTTGGCCCTGCTGTTCGAGGCCTACACGAAGTACAGCGCAGGAAAAAGCCTCCGCTATCAGCATTACATAATTTGATTGTATGACTCTTATATAACAAAATAATTTAGACAACTAAGTAGGTCACAGTAGCTTTTCCAGAAAGGGGGAAAAAAAAAAAAAAAAAAAAAAAACAAAAAAACACAAGAATAGGAGTACTTGCAATGACCACTGCTCCTGCAACGGAAAGGCAGAAGGCAGGGCTGACCCCAAATCCTGCGGGTTTGCGAGGGTTTTGGATCAACAGCAGCAAGGATTTATGTGCACGCCAAAGTTTTACCTTCAAAATATTCCCATGCATCTTGAAGCAGAACCTCTGCTTTCGTACCACAGATGAGCCAAAGGTGCCCGTCTCCCCACTCGGGGGTGAGAAACGCTAGAGAAACCCATGCCGGGTCACACATCCAGGCACAGAAAGGTGAGGGAATAGTAAACTCTGCGTAAGAGCTACAGCTTGTGCAGTTAACCTACCGAATCACCCACCACGTTTTCCAAGCTGCTAACAATATACATAAGTAACACAGATTTTTAAGTTGATAAGTAGCAGAACCACTTATTTTAAATAGACTCTTCAAACCTAAATTCTAAGGCATTCAAGAAAAAAAAAAGAAAAAAAACCCTCAATTTCCATCGTTAACACACAACTACTGTGGTAAAAAGCAAATGTAACTTAAGCATCTGTAAGACTGATCTAATTACAGACAAAAGATTTTACTCCTAAATGGACACCACTGTTAAAAGTAAAGTTTATGGTATTTAAATGAACAGAACCTTTCTGAAAACCTGGAACTAACACTAACATTCAACAAAAAATAGTGCTCTCAAAAGAATGGCTCTATAGCAAGAATCTCAAACTGAAGCAGCTAAAAAGAAACACGGCCATGTGCTATATTTTTAGTTCTTAATCCATCAGTATTTCACAGCTGCAAATAGCCAGAACTACGCATTTTTAGAAAATCAGTTCCCAGCCCACATGAAAAAGGCCAAGGACATGTACCGATAAAAATGCAAGAATGTGGCAAAGGAATATTAAAGCTAAAACAGTTTTAAAGCACAACTAGTCAAAAAGCTTCTTTTTTTTTCTTAAGAGATACTTAAGACACTGTCTTTAAGCAAACGTTCACTTACATCAGTCAAGGCCAAAACCACATTAGATTCTTTGTTGCTCAAAAGGATAGCAAGCAAAAAGATAGCTGCACACCAGGAATAATCAGCTTCTGCACTTTGAGCTCCTCTAGTTTAGACATTAGACAAAATTCAGACTTGGCGTATTTCCATTGAGCCTCTCATGACTGATAGACTTGGCTTATAAAACATCAAACAGCTGTTGGATGCAGGTTGGCCACTCAATGCAATATAAAAGCCTGTATTTAAGTGACACCATAGTAGTACTTCAGAAGGTATATGTCAAAACTTTTCTTTATGCAAAAAGGTGAATAAAAAGTATATAAAAGGCTCTTTTTTAAATGCTGTCATACAGGTTTAAAGAGATGACAACCCAAATAACAGCTTTGATCTGAAGCTGTAAATAATTCCTATGGTTAAAAACAAGAGCATAAGACTAAGATATTAACACTGTCAATTAAAAGCAGAATTAGTAGAATTGAAAATTAGCAGAATTAGTAAAATTAAAAATATTGAAGTGTTTGTTATGAAAACCAAAAGTGATAGCCATCGATAAACTGCCACTTCTTAGTTAGAATCATAGAATCATTTAGGTTGGAAAGGACCTTTAAGATCAAGTCCAACCGTTAACCTAGCACTGCCAAGTCCACTACTAAACCATGTCTCTAAGTGCCACATCTACATGTCTACACCTCCAGGAATGGGGACTCCACCACTTCCCTGGGCAGCCTGTTCCAGTGCTTGAACTATGGCTGAAGTATGCCCACTACTGGGTAAAAGCAAAGTGTTAAGGCTTTCAGGAGGTAGTAGGCTGAGCTGGACAGCAAGGAGAAAGCAGTAGGGAGGGAACTGAGGAGCCTGCTTGCTGCTTTGAGTCCTTATCTGTTACCCCCAACTCCACTCCCTGCAGGAAAGGGAGGTTTTGTTGGTTAAAGCACACACAACAAAAAGGATCGGCAACTTTGTGTAGAACCTTCTTCTCATCTGACATCTCAAGCAGTAAAGGATTACTAGATTTCAAAGCCTTTGAGACTTCCAAGAACATGCATGAAAATATTCACACCCTCTCAAAGAACTGGAAGAAACAGGTCAACCTTTCTGCCTTTCCCGAAATATGGGTCAGCACGTATATCCTCCTACGTGGATCCAGCAACAGTGGCCTCTCAGGACTGTGAGAGAGGAGAACAGAGACGCATGCACTCATCACCAAAAACTTGGCAACTGATCCTAGTAGAGCCCAAACAATCATGACTAAGTCTCTGCCTTGCTGCTTTAGGGCTCTAAGTTTTAGAAGAACAACGCTGGCACCCCTTGAAGAAGCTGTCACTACATACATGCTGACCATGAAAAGCGTCGATTCCATGGGATAAGATGGAACAAAACAGACGCTGACATCATCATCAGATGGCTCCTGACCAAAAAAAATAAAATCAGAGCTTCCCGATTGCAGCAACTGGTCAAAAATGCCAGACACAACCACATGCACAGGCAGCAGAAAGAAGGACAGAAAACCATCAGCAGCCTCTGTCAACTGGAATTTTCAGAATTGGACATCAGTAATCAGCAGACTAATGACCACAAAACCACTTTAATCACAAAGCAGCTACAGACAGCTTCTACTGTGACCACTAGTGCTGTTTTTAAATGCTCCACAAAGCAGCTTGTGATGTTGGTATAAACACATATGAGCCAGATCGCATGGCTACAAGGTTTCCTTACCGTACTGGGAACACCATAAACTGGTAAGGGAGCCTCAGTGCTACAACACACAATCTTTATCTCTTTTAAGTTTTTCCTTCTGGAAGCAGAGACATGCTGCTCCACTACCCAGTCTTATTCAGCTGGGAAGGGTGTCTTGTCTGTAACACAACATGAATTTCACAAATTTTTCCAGAAGATCTATGCATAAAAAGCAGCAACAAAATGAATTCTGGTTGTCAATGTGCACTTCCCTCCCACAGGAGAAGCATGTGTTGTACTCGGTTAAATACAGTTTGTACAAATAATATTTAGAACCCTTTGAACTTTCTGTCTATCAAAATGACAAATGGTATAAGTCATCTCATCTCACAGTCCAGTGGCATCAGCTCCCCTCTGTTCCAGAGTATTCAGGAAAAAGACAGTAAGAGGGAAGGAAACATGAGAAGTGCAAGGAGCTGCAACAGGAAAGACACCAACGTGAACTCTCTTTGGAACAAGCTCATTTTTATACCCTGTAACAAAAGCTGCATATGTAACCCAAAAGGCTGTAGGCTCACATATAACTGTACAGAAGGACTGCTATGGTAAAAGAATGACTAAATCAAAAAGCCAGAACACAGAGAAATGGAGTCTGGTTTTGTTAAGATTCCAATACAAGTACTATTTTACTAATATTAGGGGGACTTGGGGGTGTGGTTTTTAGTGGTTTTTTTTTTTTTTTTAAACAGAACAAGCAGATACAATTCAAAAATATTCACTTAGAGTCAGTCAGCCACATGGTTTGAGTTTTAACTATGCGTGTTTGTTGTTTTGATAGCTGATATTCAAGGAATGAAAAGGTCACATAATTCCAGCAAGAGAAGTTTCACAAGATTCTGAGACTAACAGAATTCTTCAAACAGGCACCTAAAATGCAGGCCTACCTTGCTGTACCAGTTGAGGCACGGTTGGACCACATCTGGATCATCAATGCCATTAAGTTCAACATACCAGATACTAAAATTGAAGCTAGGTCCCCAGGATAACAGTGGAACTGGAGAAGAAAGGAAAAGGAGAAAAAGGATGCATAAACGTCAAACAACCACTGCATTAGCCTCATCAAGCTATACATAGTACTATTTCAACAGAACGCTTTTAAAGGTTACACAAAATTCAGTATTTCTGATTTGACATAAATTCTACTTCGTTTAAGTAAGCTTCGGAAAATTACCATACACAACATGTTAAAGTTGTCATTTAAAGCAACCTGTGCTGAGCAACATTAACACAGCAGATCATTACAAAGCAGAAGCTTGCTTTAAGCAAAAGAGCAAAAATACTATCATTTAAAACAGCTCAAAGAGGCAACAAGCTTTGACATGGATGGGAATCACGAGCATACTAGCGACAGTATTTACTCCTCAAAGTACATTTATTTCTACATTTGTCAGCAACAATTATTTTCCCTAATGGTGAAGACAAGAAGCTTGGGTATTTTAAATTTTACAAAATTAGTAACATCTGCAAGTTGTGGAGGAGGGAGGGAGGGAGGGAAAACTGTCAGTTTCCTATTTAAAAACTGTATCTAATCTTTTTCTTTTTAAGCTTAAATCTGTGTAGCTTTTTGACTAACACTGTTTGAGCCGAGTATTGGAACAAACATACTTAAAATATTAAATGACCCATGAAACACACCACAGCCTCTCACCTAAGGCATCTCTACCACTCTATTAACATCTATGGTCCCACACTAGTCTACTGATTAACCTGCAGGTTAAGACTTGGTTTTGCTTTTCAGAGCAACTCCAATCCCCAGAAAACTTTTGTGTGAACTCTGACTCCTTAAAACTGCAGTGAAATCCAGCGGTTTCATTTCAAATAGTTTTGTCTGATAAACAGGAAAAGATAGTATTAGAGATGAATGAGTAGTTACCAGCAACAGCACGGAGTCCGCTACTTTCTCCCTTCCACAGAAACTTTTTGCCGCAGAGAAATTGCTTGTTGTCTTTCAAACCACTGTGAAATACCACTAAGATTAACTTGTTGAACTAAGGGTTTTCTGACCTACTCCTCAAGGAAATAAAAACCAAAATTTGTCTTAAAGTTGTTCCTGAGCTCTTAAAGGTTCTTAAGTACTTATACTTCAAACAAGCTAGATCTATCATTTTCTGCAACGTGTTTGGGGACAAAGCATATGTTCAAACACATGATTTTCTAAATTTTAGAGGGTGTTTCTACAGAACTATTGCTAAAGACTCATGACAACTTCTGGGAATAGTCATCAAGATAAGAGATATTTAGAAAAGATCCAAAAAGACTTTGAATATGTGATTCTTAACTGATTTTAATATCCATAAGTAGGTACTTTATATGTTACAGCTCCCAAATAATCCTGTTCAAACAGTTTCTTTCTACTTGATTTTTCAGCATACAAAGCAAGATGCTTCCAGAGCAGCTCCCAGTAGGTGCATGTTTATGGAGACGGGAGAGAAGTGAACTGGTCAGAAAAACCAAGAGGCACCTGTCTTCCCTCCACATTCCATACGCTCTGCCCAAGAAACTTCTTTCTTGCTTAATTTTGTCCTCTGCAGAAGATAAGTGCTGCCAATACGGTACCTTAATACCATAAAACATTACTACCTTTAAATCCAAGTACACAGATAAGTTAAACCCCAGATATCCCACCTATTAAGGCAGCAAACTGACAAAATACCACATGTAAGGGTAACACCTCTGAACTGTCTTCAGACCTGAATACACAGGCCAAGACAAAACCGAAGGTAAATTTGGTATTTGCTCAGCTATAAAGAATCAAAATCTATCCATCAGCCTCTTGCACTGACACACTGAACCAAACCACAGACCACCTCAAATGGACCAAGACCATAAATTTCCTGATGGTGAACCTGAGGCCAATTTCATAAAACACTGAGTTTACTGCGTGAAAAACCAAACCCAAGTGTTACCACCTTCCCATCTCATTCCAGAAAAAACACAGAGGTATCCACCTCTATTTCTTTTCAGCAGTTCTTCTCAGAACTTACATGAACTTCTCCCAGAATAAATTTAACAATTCACCCTCTTATCTTGGCAGCCAACTACAGCACAAAAGACGTTATTGGGATGTGCCTAAGAACCCTGGGTAGCTATCACCACAAAAAAATGCAAAGCCATCAATTTTCTAACACTTCCCCCCTCAAGTTAACTCAGAGCTTTCAACAGTCTTGTTTACAAGGAGGAAACAAAACACCAGAAATGGTGATTTAAACATTAAGATTTTCATGGTGCAACCACCTACTTTAAGGAAAACACAGACATTAAGTTGTATAGGGAATGCAGTGCTGCGCAGGCAGAGAAAACTCAATTTCATCTTTTTAAACTACTCCACAGGAGTAGGAAAAGGAACAAAGCATAAGAGTTGAAACTGTAATGTGATTTCTATTCCCTTAGCAGAGACCAAGTGTTCTGCTCGTTCATCTCCTCATTTTTAAACCTCTTCCCTGGCTCCCAGGCTACACGAAGGAGACGCCTCTCACCCTTTCCTCTGCCCTCTCCCTTTTGAAGCCTCCACAGGCGTGCTTTGGTCTTTAGACGAATCTCCTTTTAGAGCAGCCACAATCTGACTTAGGCTCGGAACAAGGAGACACGGAAGTAGCAATAGTCTCACAAACAGCGAGAAGCATTACTTGTCAGCATGGCACACAAATCTCATTTTTATTTTTGCACAAGGTTTGGAGGTAACAGCAGTCTAGGATGCTGGCTGTGGATATAAGCCCCCCTGGGTCCAACTCCGTTTCTTTTCTCATGTCTCCCAATGACTGGCTTTCATTTGTCCTCCCCGTCACCAACTTCAGATTTCACACCGCGGCCTAGGTAGACACAAACCTACTCGAGCTTCTGCGGTAGTGGAGAAACGTCCTCTAAAAATCAGGGAATACCCTACCCTGCAATACAGCTGCAGAGGCCACATCTCACGCTATCCACTGTTTCCTATATTGCTTTTTTCCCCCCCACAAACATACCTTTGAGGTGGAAATCCACTACAATTAAAGGTGTTGAATCTGAAGCCTAAAGCTACAGTTATTTCTCCAGTTTTTACCATAAAGCCACCTCAGCGTGGTTTTTTGCTCTATGTACTACAGCAATCCACCCTGAAATGCATGTAACTGTTCAGACCAGCTGAACTGTCACTCCACAGTGAGGTGCCCAGCAGAAGAAAAAATAATAATAAAAAAAAAATCAATATCCCTTCAGCAGAAGCAGAAGGTATTTCAGTCACTTAAACAGTTCTTTACCCACACCAGGATGATTTTAGGGGATATTTCTCAAGAAACTGAAGCTATGCCCAGACAAGGACTGCAACCCTGTATACTAGAGAGGACAATAACAGAGGCATTAAACACAGTACGATAATTTCACATACCTCTCTCAAGCTAATTTCTGTGTCCCTCATCTACAGGCAGTAAAGTCATAAACAACATATGCTTGGAAAAATGCAGGTAAAGATGTAGTCAATACATTTAACACAGGAAACAGCCATAAAGAAAGTATGTTCATTTGTGTTACAATACACCAAAGCTTAAAAATCTTGCAGCCTAGTTAGTAACTCCCATGCTAGTAACAAACTGGCATGAGATTTACACCCGGCATTTCTTCAAGCTCTTTCATGGCAGTCTTTATAACACCTTCTGCTTTCAAGGACACAGTACAAAAAAAAAAAAAAAACAAACTTTGCTTGGCATAACCACAAAAACAGAGCCAGAAACAAAAGCTCACAGACATTAAAAAGATTATTCTTCAATATTTTGTCCAGATAAATATCTTCTTCCCCCTCCCAAGTTCTTTAATAAGGTGCTACATGAAATGTAAAAATTACTTGTCAAGTAGGTCAAAAGCCTGCACAACTGGGCATTTCAGTGCTATGGAACTGAAGTTGAACTAATTAAACTAAAAGAAGTGCAAGTCTTTTCTTGACAGAAGGAGAAAGTAGCTATTTTTTCTGCTTTCTGTGAGTCTAAAACCTCCTCTAATACGTGAGCAATGGAAGTTGTAGGAAGTGTTTTCCCCCCTCACAGACCTACCCATGTCTACCCATGTTCCTTCTGCCCTGTCCTCCCATATAAACCTCACTGCTGTGGTATCGACAGTGGTGTACAGGTCAGTACGCTTCTCTGCAGAATTGTAAAGCAAATGCCTGATGCAAATTGCTGCCAAACTAACGAATGTCTTCCCCAAATACACAAATCTCACTGATAGCAGCAGCTTTTGCGGTGTCAGTCTCTAAAAGTCCAAAAGGGCAGATTTTGGCCTCCTGTGTACTTGGCAGCATTACAATGAACACAGCACGGTATTTCGAATTTTGAGTTACTTTGGCTAGCAGCTTGGAAATTTTAACAAACTGAAAACATTTTCAAGCTGTGAATCTGAAAAATAACAGAATTTCGTAACATCATTTTGCAGTTGTTTCACAGCAAAAAACGCTCTCACAACTTCATAAACAAAATGACACTAGCCATCAGCTAGAGGTTTTAATAGGTTTTGGTGAAAAGATCATTTTATTTTCTGTTCTAGCACAGGAATTTCTTCACAGAAGACAGCTTCAAGAAATGAAAGGCTATAAACACAGCTAAAAAGGAAAACTCATCTCAAACTGTAACTCGTGAGCAAGTGACAGTTAAATACAAAACTAGTATTAACGCATGTAACACAGAATGCTTATTGCTATGCGAGGAACCCAAACCAACAAAACAAGCCATGTAACTATTAATACTACTCATGTCCTGTCAGAAAAAATCCTGGTAGTAGAGATTAATCAGCATTTCACTTTCCTAACAAGTTTCAATTTACTCCTACACTTCATAACATCGGACCATATTTTGCTGGAATACAATTTACACATCCAGAGAAGTAGCCAGCAATCTTTCCATTTGCCCCTTTAGCCCTCCAGTAACTACATGCTGGTTTTTAGCCACTGAAAGATAACATTTCCCAAAAACCTAGCGTGGGAAGCTTCAGAATACATTAAGAGGGGGAGGGGAAAAAAAAAAAAAATCTATTTAACTTTCCTGATGTAGTCAACCTTTAACTATTTTTCTGCTCCTCTTGAGGTTTCCTGAAGCCAAGTATTACAGATGCTTCCAAATGTAGCAGCCAAAAACCAACCCAATGAACAACCAATTTCTCTCCTTCTCCAAGAACGGGAAACACCACCGTTTATGGCACACAAATGATTACTTGATTCCCAGCCTGAAGCTTTCAATTCCTCAGGCAGACATGAGAGGAGATTCAGAAAGCTGTGCAGAAGACACCAGAGCAAAGGGCTCAGAGGGGAGCCCCTACACAGCCGCTATCCTCCAAGTCTTGGCAAAGGAATTACCCAATACTTCAAAACACTCCTAAATTCATCTAAATTAGCCAACAGGATCTTATCTCATTTTTCAGCAACTACCTCCTTTCTCTATTTTTACCCTTAAACAGCTAGTTTAAAGCCAGTCATTCTTCTACTGTCTCAGCAGGTAGGAAGGGGAAGATAAATTTACTGAGCTACGAAAAGCTGAAAGTCTCTAAATTCTTGGATTAAAGCCAACCAGCATCACTGATGGCCACTGTAAGACACTCGTCCTCTCTGGCCTGCATGAAGCAAGGAAGAGAGATCCTCACCTGCTCCCATCACGAGTCACAGTAACCAGCCTTCGTTAGCACCCCCTTTAGCAAGCTTCACCAGACAAACAGGAGTAGACATCACGGGGTATAATTCTTCTTTGCCCCGGATGTCATCTTTAGCCAGAGATGAGACGTGATTAGAGTAGCAGGAAGAGAACAAGGAAAGCTTCTGCTGTTGCTCTTTGTGTTGCGAGCATGTTTGAGAACAAAAGACTCCAAACCTTTTTCAAACTCTAGGGCTGTCAGCCTTGAAACTTTTACCAGTATTTAGCTTAATGATTTTTTTTTTTAAAGCTCTATATAGCAATTTATAGTAGGACAGTAAGCAGCTTCTCCAGCAATTAGTTGACTCAACAACTGTATTTCTGAAAATTACTGTGTTTTGCTTTCATTCCCCAGGATTGAAATTATGAAACTATTGTTTCTTAGTAACTGGACTTCACTGTGTTCCAATCTAACCAGCCTAAAAGATCATGAAATGGAACAGCTATTGTGGCTACTTTGCCTGAGTACAATGAAGTCACAAGTGCCAAGACTGGCACAAGTATAAGAAGAGATTATTTTCTACTCAGAATGCTGAAAAAATGCATTTACCTATCTTAATGAATCGACAGGGGAACATCTGTTCATCAATTTTATGCTTCAAGGTGAATGTTTCTTTGTTATAATCATTCTTTAAGCCACTGTGGGAAAAAATAAATAAGGTTACTAAATCTTACCTTGTATTTTAGGACTAGCTAATAAACGCAATCTAGGTCATGCCTGAAATGCGACGCTTGTTTCATATTACTGTGAATCATAAGTACGCATGCTGGACCAATGCCTGGACTGCTATCCACCATCTTATACCTCCCTGGGATGCAGCACTGGCTCGTGGTTTCAGGAGGGAACTGACATCGGATCAATGCTGCTCATCTGTGCCTGTAACCCTGCGACTTCAGCAAGAGATCTGCCTGAACCACACTTTTCTGTTTTTAAGAGGGAGGTGGACCAGCTCTCAGAATTACCACGCTGCCAAAGCGCTTTGTGATCCATTTATGGGCATTACTTTACAAAAATATCAAATATTTAGTATAATTTATCAAAAATCTTGAGTCCATTTTTACTGAAGATGCAAGTACAGGTCCCAAAATAAGGATTTTTATTAAGCTTCAGTACAAGTGAAATGACATTAGCTATCAACAATTACTAAGCTACTAAGACCTCTTCCCCCGCAATTCCAGCAGCAATAAAGTCACATTGCAAGACTGGTCTATCTAAAGAGTGCAAAAGGGTGGGAAGGGTTGTGGCTGGTTTCTGTATGGTCTTGAAGGATACTTGCAAGAAAGAACTTCCCATGTTTCTCCATGGCTATTCTGCTTGACTACAGATGATGTACACCCATAAGTTCCCCGGAGGTGGACTTTCCTTCTGTAGGCCTCCAAAAATAGACTAGTTCTTGCTACTCATTTCTCTTGTACTCATAGATATTTAAATATCATTTCCCTTTCTGAAACAGAAGACTCCTTAAAAGGCCCTTGCAAATTTACATTAGCAACTACTCAGAAGCTCTGGATAGCTTGAATTGCTAAAAGGCTCTTTCTTTAGTCCCTATCAGTACAACTACCAAATCAAATTAAACAAAGGAAAACACGGGTTTTCCATTTGCTTATTTGATTTATTTACCCATTTGAAGAAAGGCAGAGCAGCTGGCTAGTTCAGACCTTTACAGCTGCAATGAGATTCTTGACATAGGCAGGTTATTCGGGCTTTTAAAAGCTACTTTAAGTTACCCACACCTGGGGAATCATTTGTCTTGTGCCTCAAGCACACAGAAGAAAGGAATCGCAATCCAGCAGTGTTGCGCCCTGCTCTCAGCTCCTCCAAATCTCCAGGAGTATGCTCTCCACAAATATTCTGTGGTTAGAGCAGAATAAGGAAGGCTGCCTGGAGCCAGTGTTGGGATTGCTGCTCTCTGACCTGACCATAAACACATGGGCACCTAATTGCAGGATCACAACCACAGCTCTATTACAGTGTTAGCCATGTGTCTGCTTGGGAGTGAAGGGGAAGAGCATTTTGGTCCAGCCTTTATGATTACCGTAGCTGATGAAATCACATCTTACCTGGATAAGAGATCTGTCATGTTTTCCTCATTCATCCCACCAAAGACTTTAAACTTCTTTAAATTGCAGACATGCGTTTTCTCATATTTGCCAAATGTGATACTCTGGACTATGGCAGGTCTTTCAAGTTTCAGAATCAAATACTGCGGAAGAGAGAACAGTGAATTTTAATATTAAAGCCAAGGCTGCAAAACATACTAAGGGAGAAGAAGCATTACAGCCTTCAAAAATTCAGTTAACAAAGCCAGAGAATGAAAGTTAAGATGATCCCTCCCTATTATTATATTTTCTCCTTTGTTCCTGGAATGAAGCAAAGGTTTTTTAGGAATATTACTTTAAAAGCAGTTTATCCAGGAAATAGATTTGGTTGAGCTACCTATTCCTAGCATTTCTATTCAGGGCTTACATACATTCCTTCAAGTTGGATGCAAGACTTCCTGAAATCTGGCAAATAGGATCAAACTATGGAGAGCGATGATTCAAACGCCCACTACAGCCTGAAATGAAACCTAAACTGAATACACAATTAGGTAAATACAGTATGTTCCACATGCTAAGAGAACATCAAATTACTTTTCCTCTCTGGGCTGACACTATTTAACCACTGAACGCAGACTAAGTTTGATGTGTGGCTAACACAGGAACCAACTGCTTATTAACCATACCAAATAAACCCAAGCCACTTCACTGACAATAAAGGGGCTTTACACATAAAACAGTGAAAACGTTCTCCCTTGAGAACATATGCTCCCCCCTTAACACAGATGTCCCCCCCACAGTGTATGAATGGTCAGGTTAGTTATATTCAGGCCCCAGCTACCAGCTTCACCAGTGCTGCTGGAGGAAAAGATCTGTTCTGTTTGAAAAGCATACGCAGAGAAGCACTTGCACCATTCATCAGGGACCATCGAGCACCAAGTTTATTTAACCTTCCTGTACAAAACAGGTCTTTCGGGGAGTCCAGGGACATCTTCTTTTGCAGAATACATTGAGTTTATACCTGAAAACAATGTGTTTAATTCTCTTCCCTAACTTCTCAGAAATAAGCAGTACACAACAGAGAAATGAGATGAAGCGCAGAATCAAAATTACTCATCGTGCTGGATCTTGCTACAAAACCCTATGATCAAGGCTACAGTACAAGCAGATCGGTAAGGCGTTGCAGGACACTCCCCACTGCAGGCACTGCTGGTGGCCCTTTCCTCCAAGCAGCAGCACTGCCAAACCAGACATAACGCAGTATTTTGAGTCCTTCATCAACATCAAGTAGAGTATTTGCATGTACGTGGCTGCTTTCTACGGTTCCTGAGCAGAGACTAGTATCTCTCCATAAAGTGTCGTTGGCATCGCTCTGCTTGTCCTACACAGCTCTAACTATGGGGCAATCTTACTCTAGGAGTGCATCTTTTCCGTGAGAAGCAGAACAAATTTTCCCCTTCCATTCAGTTCTCAGTCTTTCTGTCATGGCCCTACAAAGCAATTAATTCTGCATCTAAGAGCAGTACTGACATCGTTCTAGAAAGCGCCAGGACAAATGCATGATCTCAACGGCTGGTTCTCACTACATTTACCACTATATTTACAAAAACCTTAGCTTAAAAGAAATATTCGTACATGTAGCGGTTACAGTTGATAATGCAGACTGGCTAGGTACCTATTTAGAATAGGAAGGATTTACTGCCAAAGATGTTTCCAGCAACCTCAAAATTTTTTAAAATGAAGAAAATAAACCAGTATCAGCACTGCTAGGGTGCAACAGAAGAATGTGTCGGTGCTTTCCCAGATTCTTTTTTTTAAATGAAAAATTTCTAGTTTTGTGAAGAACACCATCCACCTAAACATCTGAACCCACTGTTAGTTTAACTAGCAGTAAGCCATGCTTTTGTCTCAAAGTACTTCCCAAATTTCAGGAAAAAAAACAAAGTTCTATACAGAAAACAGATTTTTTTCTAAAGCAGAGAAAAAGAAAGGATGAGCAAAAGGATAGTCCTGTAATGAGCAAGGCAGTACTTGATACATGGCACAGCCCGCTGCCAAAATTCCCATGCAGAACAGACAGTACACAACATCTAAGAACTCCTCCTACACCATCATATCTTCCCCGCAGATTTTTCCCAAAGCTGAAAAAGTGAAGCTAGCACTACCAGCATCAACAACTGCAATTCTTAATCTTGCTGGAATCACAAACCTAATGCTTGGGTCATGAAGACATACTTTCTCAAGTACCACGCAAGATTTGCAAAAGCTTGGCACAAACTTCATCCCACATTATTCAATTCTTACCCTAAATTAAGGGAAAGAAATCTGAGACTGCAGTTAAATCCTTTAACTTGGCATACACGCCTAGAAGGCAGCAAGGCATGGCAATTACTCCACATGGCTAGCAGTCATTTCTTAAGCCTACGGACAGGGAAGAAACGCTGCAGCCCTCCTTCCAGCTTCCACACATCCCATCACCTGCCGAGTCAGGCGGACATTACAGAAAATATAAGCACAAAAGCTTAAGACAACCTTTTTGCGAATTTATCTGCTGACTGCAACAAAAGCCAGGTTTGCTTGGAAGGCTATGGCCCAACACCTGTACCTATGTATACATTTCTATTTCTTTTTTAGTACATATATACACACACACATATATACACACATAGATATACTTTTTGGTTTTATATATAAAAATGCACACACACTGCTGCCACTGTGGGTACAGGCTGCAAATTTCACTGATGTCGAAAAAATATACTGCCTCAAGAGCTGCAAACAGCTGGCTGCATGGATATTTTTGGACTGCTACCAGGATTTTAGATGTGACAGACTATTCTCTATAGCTTTGAAAGATGCGATAAAAGTGTACATAAGATCAAGTGATTCGTTAAACCTGGAAAAAACAACTCTGAGATTTCATACAAATACATATACAGACATATACATATATATGTCAAATATCTTGATATTTGACACTTTTCCATCCTATTGCTATAAGCAACATCAGTACTTTTAATGTCCAAGTATTCACGAAGTATTCAAAAAATCCAAATTAGAAACTGAAGTGTTTGTTCATTAGAGGCATGGCACACAGATGCTAATGGGGTAACTGTGCAAAACCCTCAGCCTAACTGTTAAGTGTCAAATTACAACACTTACAAAAAAAGATGCTACCAAAGATTAGAAGAGCAAAACTTCTGGTTTCAGATTAAACACATTTGTAAGTGAAGATGCACAAAGAGCAGAGCAGAGTTAGCGGCACTTCACCACCTCAGCAGCTTGTTACGGTACACCCAAAAAAAAAGCAAATCCAGACCCGTCACACTGGGAGTTGCAGCAAATTCCAAACTTTTTTGAAGCTCTGGTCTGTGCTACCATTTGATGACAACCATATGCATGCTTCTGCATCGCACAACTGAGTGTAAATTTTATTAATGTACTTTAAATTAGTTCCTGATACGATCTACACAGCAGGATGGAAATCAAGAGAGGAAAACTGGTCTGCTCAGATGCAAAACTGAAACCAATTGTTTGGACAGTACCACTAACTTTATACATATACTCTTTAACTGTTCAGAATTTACATCTCCACATCAAATAGGCTGGACCAGATCCCAAACTGCACTACGCAAGCTGCCTGTACAATTACAGTCACATTGTATTTTATTAATTTCTTTCCCTTTAACCATTTCTGCTCAAGCATTTTTTATTAGGGAGTAATGAAACTTGTATTGCATGTGAAAACAAAAACACAAAATAACTAAGATACTCAACAGGGACTGCCCTTGTCCACCTACCCATTGCTTTTGCAATTCAGCTTGTGGCTAAACAAAAACCTATCCTTTTGCTCTACACACTAATCAAGCCACTCAGGGGAATTAAATGTTTTTCTGCACACAGGCTTCCAAGTCATACCATCACTGGAGCCATCAGGATGAGCATTCATGACAGGGCCATCGTCTTCAGCATTACCAGCCTTATTGCTTCACACTTCCTATGTAAGCCTAGAACTAGTTTAAAAATAGAACAATCAGCCCTCTTCTGCCTGAATAGGTTACCATAGAACAGGTTTGTTATTGAATATATAATTTCTGGGTCATTCTATTTCAAGACTCAAGAAAGATATCTAGTTAAATAAACAGAAAAACAGCTGTCATACATATTTCCTTTCACTGGCACTCATTCATAACCAACTGGTGGCTTTCACGGCCACAAGAATTATTTAACTCTACCATATCCATAAAGCTCGGAAAACCCTTTACTGAATATAGTCACGTGACAGTATTTCAAGTGTCTGGACTTCTACTTTCATTTTCTTTCCCTCTTCAGAAAGTTTTAATACAGATTCCAGTACATTTACTGCAAAGCATGGATCTTCGTTGAGCTACTAAACACATTCTCAGATTTTTAGCTATGTTTTTCTGATTCATGTTCATCTTAGCAGGAGGAACACTGAAAGAAAAGGTGCCTGGAGAGGTTTTTTGTTTCCATTAGCAAGGGAATGGAATAATTCAATGTTTAGGGACTCACTCATACTTCTACCTCTAAGCCAGCACAGCACCACCACCTCAGCAGGGAACCACTAAACCCGTACATTAAGGAGAGACACTCTGATGAGACAGACACTAGCGATTAGGGCTGCAGAGCTTACTAAAATATCACACAGCACGTTCCAGTGAGCATGACTGACATTAGTCCTTGTGTTGTGTCTCAGCCCTAGTTTCAGCCAGTGAAGTTTGAAACAAGGAAAGCTTTATTTTACCGAGTTTTAGTTCTTTTCCTGTCCCAGACCATTACGGCCGCCCACACAGTTTAACAAGTGCGTCACCGCAAAAGCGACCAATTTTTAAATGAAGTGATGCCAAAACACAAGCCATAAAATGTTTTGCAACTTCATTTTCCATAGGATGCATGCTGTTTATTTGGGGGATTAAAAGTCATGTGTATATATCATCATTCTTCGGAATATGAAATACCCAACTTCTGCTTAACAAAAAGCAACTAATTTCCCCCCAACTTCTCTCCCCACCACACTTATAATTCGGTCAACCACTATTTCGACCGAAGCTTTCCAAGCTAAGAATCTGCCTTAAGAATTCAGCCATCTGCAAGAATGAGGAAGCAGAAAACCTGCATAAAAGTTTTACCTGCATTAAAATGAGGCAGTCTTTCAACGGGCAAGGTGCAAGAACTAGCTATTTTGAGCAAAATGCAATCAAATCTGAAGTTCTTTTGTCAAGTATGAGACAACACAATTTGGAACTGTTTCTCTCTATATACACAGAAATAACAAAAACTGCATTCTTTGCACACAGGCCTCTTCTGCAAATTTTAATTCCCCGTTCCCTCTTTCCAGTTAATTTTTCAACAGAGCAGTTACACTGTAAAAAAAATGCTTTATATGAATAATTAAACACTCAGGTTAGAAGCATGAGAATTAGCTAAAGTACATATTAGAGACACTGCGAATACATTACCTCTGTCAGCACTCAGGATTGGGCTTGCTGAATACATGAGCCACTGCAAAGCATTTTGTACTCTCACTATTGAATACCGAGATAACAAGTAATAGGAATCCAGCAGGATGGCCTTTTTCATTTAGGCAGCCAGGCTTTCTCTTGGTTTTGTCTTTAAATAACACAGAATAAAACTCAAATACTGTCCTGCCAATCTCAGTTGCCACTGCGAAGACGAACTTTTTGCAAGTCAGATCAAAGGACCTCAAATCTCAATACCTCACACACACAGACACATATATATAAAAGAGATCGAGGGACAGATATGTATATGTATTCTAATGGTAATTCATCTCTCTCCTATCAAAAGTTTGGTTTAAGTGACTTGCTTATGTGGGGCAGTGCCCAGTTCTCCAGGGTTAGATTCAGTAGTTCTGCCACAGCATCTTCATTCAGGCCAGGATCAATACACATAAAACTGTTGGAAGACATCTCTAACAAGCTCATGTGGTTTGTACCCAAGTCACTCTACTTCCTGCTTAATCTACATGCTTGAATATAACTTGTATCACTGCTGGTCACCTTTAAGCATAGGTTGGAAATATTCTAAAGCATCCAGTTACAAGAAATGTATTGCAATTCCAGAATCAGGTTTTTAGAAGCACAAAATATTCAACATGGCTCAGAAAGTGAAAGAGCAACTTTTCGCAACAACTAGGAGCACCTCAAGTGAAAAACCCAGTCCAAAGCTACACCACAAGCCAACCTTACCTCATGAACAGGAGAGCCCTAAGAAAAACACGTGCTTCCTGCATGAAAGGAAGTAAGAGGATGGCACAGACTGGGCTACAACACACGCTCGATACCCGTTACCCTGTAAATCAATAGTTCCTAGACAGACTAAAACTGCTTCAGGCAATGGATTAATTTCCTGTGCTCTTTACCAAAATACATACATACATGTTAAAAAAATCAAATTAGAAGAGCAGTAGATACACAGAGGCATTAAGGGGATCAAAATTACTAGTCTTCACAAGCAGGTTTATGAAACACATTAATGGTATAAACTGAATACTTTTCCCTCTCCTCCTAAAAAAAAAAAAAAAACCACACCCACACTTTTACAGACACAACAGTATAGAACAATTTATCACAAAAATCAAGATGAAAGCCTTTCAGCTGGATGGAGTGACCTGCTGCTACAGGGAGCAGCTAGTCTAGACTATAGATTTTTAACATAACTTCAAAGCAAAGTAGCAAGATTTACCTAGCGAAAAATTCTGTGAGACTTAACTCATGAGGAATACTTGGATTAAATAAGTAGATAAGCAGAAGAACTTTGCATGAGAGAGATACTGTGCAATACCTTCTGCTGTGCATCAGTGTTTTACACAAAAGAACTTAAAACAACCAGCATAAGAGATATAGAAGCTGATCCCACAGTACCAGAGTAGTAAGGTATAGATCTAGCATAAAGAGAAGGATAAGACATTTAGTGGAGGAAAAAAAAATTAAGTAAAAGGATAAGCATATTTTTTCTGGATAATCTAACAATCTAATTAATAGTGGAAAAGCAAATTAGATATTAAAATAAGATCTGTATTGATTTTAGCAAGGTGATTAACCAGTAGAAGAGGTCTCTTTAAACAAAGTCTACATTTCTAAATGCACTATTAAGAGAAACAAATACAAGCTCCTTAGATCTAGGATTCAAGGCCAGCAATCTACAACAGCTTCCAGTAGTGCTGACAAAGGGGGACCTGCATGCCTCATTAGCAGCTTAATCTAACCATAAGGTTAGATTATTTCCAGTACGACCGTGATTGTCAAGGATGAAACACGAAGCTTCCCCTACAAAAAAAAGCATTTCTTGAAAGACGACAAATAGATTGCTGGAAGCGTAAATACCTAACACAACCACCCGCATTTTACTGAGAGAAGGTAGCCTGTAAAGGCTGTCAATGTAAATAGTAGCAGCCTACATTTAAAATAAAAACTCCAGTATATATTAAGTTGTACAACACAGCTATACAGTTGCAGAGATTCAGACGCTTACCTGGGGAGGATAATTGCTTTCTGAAGACCATCTTGAGGACTGATCATTGGGCTTGTCCACCAAGATATTCCTAAAAAGCGAGAAGCCAGAAGTAATATAAATAACAGCCACATTGTATTTTACATCTCCAGTGAGATGTGTCATACATGCAGATCAGTAACATTCTCACACAACTACCGAAATCATGAGGCAGACTAAGGTTTTCCCCCTCTTATTAAAAATTTTCTACATTGCTATTTTACAGGATCCATCAAAATACGCCTCCAAGCCTTGTGGTTGTGAAATGGAGCTCCAAGTTGCGAAATAAAAAAATTCAAATTGTTAAATAAATTTAAAACAGATGAATTTATGCAGGCCCAAGTCCACAACGAAGTGGAAAAAACGGTCTCATTCACCTCAATGGGGTAAGAACTTTTCAGTAAGGTTAAAATGATGAGCAGTAAAACAGTTGGCAAGCCAAAAACTGTCCTTTACTAGATAGGCGATACTGGAACGGAGAGAGCAAGATGCTAACCTGCTTAAGCTTTCTTGGGGTGTAGAAGATGACCATCGAACTCATGCCAAATTTTAACAATTATTTTTCATGCAAGCTACAAGCCTAGAACAACACGCAGGAAAGCAGAAGTTCAACTCTTCAACTGGCAAATCTACCTCTGTGTTTCTTTCTTACAGTTCGGAATAGCACAGCACTTGGGTAATTAACAAATTCAGGAGAGTTTTTTTGGCTAAAATGAAACAGATTCATCATGATAATCATATGAAGGATCTGCCTTCCCCTCTCCTACAGCCATGTGGTAAAGCTCACCTCCCAGATTAAATTAAAAACTAAAAAAGAAAAACCCTAAAATGTATCTAATTGTTAGTGAGGTAACGATGCACCACCTGCTGGACAGGGCTTACGAGCTCTACCACATCCAACTCACGAACTCGCCAGCTCGTAAAACTTATGTAAAAAGAAGGAAGTAGTCATCAAAAGGCTTATGCCATCTCCATCTGCTGTGTAGGAGGAAAAGAACACGAGCATCTGGATTACTACAAAGGACTGGAGGAAAAAGCACTCATATAAAAGCTCAGAAGGGAAAGAGGTTAAGTCAGAGGTTGAGCACTAACAGACTGGGAAATTAGCTCGCTCTTTCCACATTGGGCAGACCAAAATCACCACACTAGCAACGGTATCCAAGCAGTCCTGCACCCGGACAAGGGAGACAGCAGGACCTGGACCAGGGTGGCCCCTTAAAATACCTACATTTTAGAGAGCTGGACTAGTGGCTGCCCATCTGCAGGCTTTACAAGAGACATGTCATGATTTTGACACAGCACAGGAACAAAACTCAGGTTCCCTCTCCCTTCAGCTAGTTTCCATCACAGCATGGCATTTATTAACACAGCAAGGCCGGCACCGGCCCAGGCTGGCAGCTGGTTTATTCACGCATTCCCAATTGGGAAAACGTGTTTGAACGTCATATGGACACGCACTACCCTCTTGCTCTAACCCCATCAAAACAGGAAAGGTCAAGCCATTGGGCTGCATAATTAAACATCCAACTAAGAACGTCTACTCTGCAGCGCAAAGAGGCTCAACTCCAAGACAAAACCTAGCTCTCGTCTTTCATTTACAACTTACATGAACCAACCAAACCAAAGGGGAGAATTCGGGAACCGATGAGAAACAGATCGCTAATAAAAGTTGCCAGTCTCAAAGCTAAGTCATCTCTAGAAACCAAAACACATTAAGAAGAATCATACCTGCAGTCTCCTATACCATGCCACAGGCAAGGCAAAAGGATATTTATGGATTTCTTAATACCTTTTAGTATCTGGAGAGAAGAAAAAAAAATGCTAAACTTGAAGGAGATAGGTATCTTAAAATAAATACTTAAGGGACGTGAAGGCAGATAAAACAAGATAACACTGCATGGCTTTTCTCCTTCATGGAACTTCATCCTAGCATGCAGGAAGACAATTTGCCCTCCAAAATAAATTTTATTTATGATACTATTACATTTGTTTAAACATTAGACGATAAGCCCTTCGTATGTTGAGCAACATTTACAGGAATTGGCACTGTTACTTGGTCGGATAATGCCCTGCTGGAAAGAGGCATTTTATAACTGGGACAGATCCCAAAGATCGTATTTTTAGAAGTAGATTTGTTTGCTTCTCCAGGTCAAAGATCAGTTAGCCACAACCAAAGAGGACCTCAATCAGTACAGCTAGACAAGATAAAAATCCTTCTGCAGAAACAAAGAGAAGGGACAGGCAGCTCAGACAAAATTAAGGATGAAAAGAAAGTTAAAAGATAAAAGATGGCAGTGTTAATGGAGTTATAAATATGTTTAAAAATACATGGGTTATTAATTTATTAAAATTAAACAAACATCGAAGGTAGAAGTCTGTATGTACAAAGTCAATTTACCATAACGGTTTAGGAAAATTTACGGGCTTGGAGGAATTCAAGCATTCCAGAATTCATGAGACAGTAGGAAACAAACAAATGCATATCCTCATGACAGACACCTCTTTCCATGGTAAAGCCCTTCTTCTGGTCATCACAAAACTCTCACACAGTACCTGGAGGCAGGCTTTTCAGACACGACACCTAGATTAAAATCTGAGAAACTCTCGAAGTGAAAATTCCATTAACTCAATGACTTTCCATGTAATTTTCACAAAGCATTAAAAAAAGGTATTTGTAAGCCCTTGAGCTACCACAAGTACCAAATAGTTTTACGCAAGCTTTTCCTGTGCAAAAAAGCAGCCCATTAAATGCAGTTTGAGATAACTCATAATCATAAACTGTAGATACAAGTTCTAGTCTAGCATAAATCTACAACACTGCCAACAGGGACCATTCCACCCACTCGCGCCTGATCCTCCCCCTCCCTACACCAGCAGCTATAATAAAGATTAGCATAAATAACTTCTTTAGTCAGATCAGTTCTCCAATTCAGCTTACTACTAGTGCCAGCACAAAAGCAGAAAAAAAGACGAGCAGCTGGATCCGGACAAGGGATTCATGCTGGAGTGAACTCCCAATACCACTCTCCCGCTGGCAAGTAACTACTAAAAAAATGAGATGTTGTGGTACCTCTGCTACTTTGTGGGGAATCCTACCCCACACTGAAAGCTAAGCAGACATAAATACTTATGTTATTTGCACCACAAATAATGACATGTCCAGAGGTGGTACTGATGTGCCTTAAATTCATAACCTAGCTTCCTTCATGGCTATCAGCATCCAAGCCTTTACTGTAAGCATTCCCATCACTAAGTAAGAGAAGCAGATCATTCCGGCTGCTTTATGTAGAAAGCCCTCTTGGCAGAACACAGTGGAAGTTTCTTTTTATTAGCCATGCAGACGCTGGTCTTGCAACTGCTGGAAGTAGATAATTTTTCCTTTTACCAGCCCAGAAACCGTCATATCCGTTGTACCAGCTTCTGGCTGATCTCCGCTGGAATTACAGAGATGTCCCCATGCCTGGTATTACCAGAGGACTTCCCTGTGCAAAAAGCTCTGCGATTTCAGGCATTACCATCACTAACGGAGAGTTTGTCTTTGCTTCAGAGGAAAGGAAGGGAGAAATAAGATGACTTTGCAGAATGTACTGCAAATTAAGTTTAAGGCTGCTATAATTTGCATCTAACCTAAATATTTTCATGAAGCTGCTATTAAAGAAATCCATGACTTTAGGAACAAGTCCTTAAGAATAAACAGACCCAGAACACTAGCTTTGCTTGGCACATTCAAATCGCTCTTCAGAGAGCAGCTGTGCAGAAAAGGGCACACGCGTCTCCAAGAGGACTTGGAACTCAGACACAGCTCTTCTAGAAAACCGCTGAGGTACCACGCCATTACACTGCAAAAAGCATTTGGAGTGCTACGAAAACACAGCCTGACTGAAAATGGACAAAATACTTTCTTCGGGGTTGTCCACGTGATTTGTTTTTTTTTTCTTTTTCTTTTTCATTTTTTCCTACAACTGTCCCAAAACAGACTAGCAAGAATACAGCAACTAGAATACATGGACTAAAATTTCCACTAAGCTCACTTTACAGAGGACTGTACAACATGGTGGACCAACTATTTCAAACATGAGGACCCATCACACCAGCCAGTACAAAGCATCAGTGGAGATACTCTTGCCCAGCCTAGACACTGGAAGGTACATACAGTCTTAACCAAGAAAAACAGAAAAAAAAAAAAAAACCACATCACCAAAAAACCCTATTCCATGGATCTGTTAAGAACTAGAGAAATTCTCCTCCTTCAACTCCCAGAAACTCATGGCAAGTAATGCTGATTTCAAACCACCTGTCTGCGATGTTTGAAAAGCTATATGAACCTATGGCTCTCCCCTAAAGCAGTTCAAAAAAAAGCTTTTTAGATTTTGTTATCAAGTTTCTCTCCTTTCTATCGCAAAAGTTCTCTGCTTAAAATGGCATAAGGACATGAAGACTTGAAAATTTCTTGGTTGGAACACAGTAAAACATACACAGTTATTAGGCAGTAAGCAGACACATTCAGGAAACAAGCTTTTATGGGTTTGGGTGTTGTTGTTTGGGTTTGCATTTTTTTGAAACACAGGACTTCTTAATCCCACTGCTAAGAAGTACAGGAGGACCTCTTGCACAGTAAAACAAAGTTGGAGTTAAACATGTACACAAGAGCACAATTTTAAGTACTATACTGTCACAAGATTTACCAACTTACTGCTCAAATTTGCTTCCATCTCCTCAGCAGCAGTTTCACACAAACATCCAGTATATTATAAATTTACTTCTGTCAAAAGTAAAATCACTAAGCCAGTACCACATACAAAAATAAACTGATTAATTTAGAAATCACCTTACAGAAATATACTTACCAGATCACAGCTGACTATACTGGACAACAAAACAGGTGTCACTTAGCTCTGGCCTAGAAATAGTTCCATTAAAACCAGTTTCTCAATTATTTCCTTCAATGAACAGGTCCCTTTTTTTAAGCTGCCTCCCATCACTGCCAGCCAATGATACACAAAGGCCTTTACCCGAAAACAAACTGCTCCTTAAACACAAAATGACACTGTCACAGACATTTCCAGTAACACAGGTTAGAAAGTGCTCCTTTCCACTCCCCCCATCTAGTTAAGCCTTCTTTAAACAAGGTATTTTTGATTCATCAGTGCTTCTTCCTGACACGCCAGGAATTAAATGTTATCAATAGTGACTAAAACTGCATCAGTACAGCGAATTCCCAGCAAGTTATCAGAGCCCGGCAAATAACTTCTATTCCGGTGACACTCAACAACCCTAAATCACAGATTAAACTTTTGACTGTATCACAGCACTGAGCTACCCAAATCCTTAGCGGCAAGAGCTCCCAGCTCAAGGTTGGCAATAGCAGTATTAACACAGCAGAAAAACAAACTGGAGGAAAAAATAAAATAAAGTCAGGCTTATTCGCATATGTTGGTAACCACAGTAACTTCACACATCGCAGATGATTACCAGCCCAACTGTCCCAATGTTTAGGGATTATATAGATGCAATTAGGGATTATAGTTTAGATGCAATTGAAATCGTAAGTGATGCTGAACCTTCAAGCTTAAAAATTTCAAGGTTTGTTCTCTCCTCACACTAGCTTTGGTTTTAAATTTAAGAATTGTTAGGTCACTGAAACAACAGGTCTTTTCCACGCACTTAAAGTCTACCTACTTTTTGAAAAGAAAATAACTTAATGCTGACAAAAATCAGCAACTATAAAGACTGCTTCACCTGATCATCTCAGTGAACCACTATTAGTGAACATACGATTACCTGGAACCTTTTCTTTTGCCCATTTCTTTTCTTACTCAGTGTTTATTTCTACATATCTAAGCCACAAGGATATCTGAAATCCAGCCTTTTAACTAATCCACAAAGTACTAACTCAAGCAACGTGGCATGCGTGCAACCTAGCCTATGAGAGGTTCCAGGAGGTTCCCCCAGCAGAAATAAATCCCTGACTTGATAAAAAGACCAAGAGTAGAATGAATTCTACCATTCAATATTCAAAACATATATATTAGATTGTTCGGCTCACTGGATTTGTAGACAATAAAAAAAGTATTGTAGTAAAATTTACCGGAGTTTAAGACATCACCAGCTGCAGTCACTTTATAACAAAGTTCAGTTTTCAGTTTAAAAAAAACACTCACATCTCGCTGGGAAAATAGTTTAGGTATTGTGTGAACATAGGGATTTCTACTGCCAGCAATCACCAGAAAAGCCACTGAACTTAGACTTCCCAAATCTTCCACAATACTGGTGGAGTAGAAATCCCCTATGCTGTATTTTGGAAGCATCACAAACTTAGTGGAGTATTTTTTGTCTGACTAACACACATATGGAAGAATTTTATGAAGGCCAGGAAGTAGATTTAGGTCTTCCGTGATTTCACAGCATTGCAACAATGCTCTTACATGCCACAATATTAGTAGTATTTCCACTCAACAGAGGAATCCACAAAAACAGACTTAAGTGACTACATGTAAAGATATAAATTCCTAATGTAAGCCATAAACACATCTTTGAATATCCATCAGCACTGTAACTTCACACTTAGTAAAAAGCTCACTCAAAAAAACTGACGCCAGTAAAAGAATTTAAAGCAGACGATGTTGAACAAAATGGACTGAAGCCCCCTTACACCCAAACTAACATCAGGTATGGAGCTTTTTCCACCAAAACTCTATGGAAAATGCCTCCTGGTTCCAGCTGGGACAACCTTCACTGTACTGGTTTTCTTTTCAAAATTAAGGCTCTCTCACTAACAATGTAACTCTACTCAGGGAATCCAGAAGACAAAATACTGACCTGGGAAAATAAATATCAGCCTGTCATTAAGTACTGGTTATCTGGGGAATTCCATTGCAAGTCAGAAACATTTGCCCCTGGAGCTACATTACGGAATAATTCCTTATTTTGGGGCAATATACATAATTCATGCTAAAGGATACACCAGTTCCCAAGCCAACATTACTTCCGTATTTGGCAGCTTCCAAACCCTGTATCAGAAAGCAGATTTTTTAGGAAACAAAATGTGAAAGTTAGCAATAGCATGCCGTCAGGGAAGAGAGGGGTAGGAATTCATTCAGCAATTCCTTACTCACAGGTCAATTTACCCAACCCAAATGATTTTCTTGCATTTTAACACTCTGTGTTAAGAGCACCTCTTTACTAATACAACTTTCAAATGTAGAATAGGCTAGGAAATTGGTATTTAAATAGCTACCCTAAGAGCCAAATGCTGCTTAAAGTAGGTACCTATAGAAAAGCATTTAAGAAAAATACAGGTAATATCCTAAGCAGACTATCAGTGTTTTTCAGGCACCTTCCCAGAGCTTGAGAGTGACATTATGAACCCAGCAGTCAGAAAAAAGGCAGAGGACTGAGGAAAACACCACAAACTCGAAACGACCAGTGCGCAATTTTTCTCCATTACCAAGATCATGTCATTTCCCAGGAACCGCAGAACACACCAGCAGAGGAGGAGCAAGCCCTATTAACCAGTTTAATTTTGCAGTTTAAATTCAGACATGCACGCTGCTATCCTCAGCTTAAATATACAGTTGTGTTCCTTGATTTAAATTGATCCAGGAAATAACTTCTCAAAGATTATGCATACTGAATTTCAAGTAATGACTAAAATAGCAACTACCTAAGGTTAACAAACCACTCTACATCTTCAGCACTCCTTCCTCCCCTTCCAGTACTTACTATATGATTGAATTCAGACCCAGCTGAACTTATGGTCCGCTGTTCCTACAAAATCCAATAGGCCACAGTCAAAAAAGCAAAACTACATTTAGTTTTAGAGGTTTATATTAACATGCTGTTAAAGTCAGTGAAGTAGTGTCTTGGTTTGGAAGTTTCGAACATGTTGACCTCTAGAGAGCTGACTGAATCAATGCTGCACACACCACTTAACCTCAACAGAAAAATCTTGATCACATCATAAAATCAATGGTGGCGATAAACCTAACCGTGCGTTCTAACAGAGATCTGCTAAAAAGATGAATGTGCAGAATAAGAAACTATATTCTTTGCCATGTAAAAAAAAAAAAAAAAAGACCAAGCAGACTGTACATGCTGTCTCAGCAATAACAACAGTTATCTCAAGGAAAACATGCTCTGTTTGAAAGAGCATTTAAGTCTTTAAGCAAGTAATTAGTAATTAGAAGCTAGAAAACCTTTATTAAGCTTGCAAGATATAAAGGCACATACAGGACAAATGATCCATAATCTGATGATGTTAACACCTCCTATGAAAATTTTACATTCTTAATGTTCCCCAAAAATGCCATCCCAGAAAAGCTTGAACATCAGAGTAATACAGGTTCTGCCAGGTTAGTCACACCAGGGAACTCGAGCAATTAGCATTTCACCTTCATCCTTCTG